CTCAAAGGCTGGCTCTTTGCCCGGTTTCACAAGTTCTAGCTCCGTTTCATAGGTCTAGTCTTTACAGTAGCACTGTCGAAAGTTCAGGTTACCTCCTACTCAGGTCTTCCAAGTGGGCTTCCGTCCTCCTACCTGGTTCCCATGATTTATACGGCCTAAGGACTTATCTTGGGTTCACACCACCTGGTACTGGTTTGTGTTCCTTCATACAATGTTGCACAAATGCCTAGACCTTCCAGTCAGGCTGGTATGACATAGGTTACAGGTATCCTATCCCAACCAATCACGGAAGACAGTTAGCTGTAACACAGAAAGAATTGCAAATTTTCGCTGTCACTAGGATTTGAACTCTAGACCTGCCATTTGGGGGTTGACAACCTATCCACTTCACTAGGTTGCCACACTCCATTAACTTTCTTTGTTTTTATATTATTGTTTCTGTTTTTTAATAAAAAATTATACATTTTTCAAATATGAATAAACATTAACTTTAATTCTTAAAATGAGTCTTGGGTTTGTTAAATTGTATATAGCTATGAATGAAGGTGAAGAAGAATTTAAAAAAGTATTTAATGATTATAGCAATGAGACAATATTGAGTTATCTAAATAGTTGCATCGATGAGTATGATCTTTATTTTAAAGGCAATTCTGATAATGCACTTAATGATAAAAATAGTATCTTTAAAGGTTTTACCTATTGTGCAGAATATAATAATTCAAAAATCACTCTTATTGCAAAGTATTGGAAAGGAATCTGTTTAAGTGAAGAATTTGGAACTTCTATTAATAAACTTGAAGCAAAAGCCTTGTTTAAAGAAGTTGCTAAAAATGATTTTAAAGATAATTATTTAAAAAATAAAGCATAAGCATGATTTGAAGCTATCTTATAAACAATTAACTTTATTTAAAAATAATTTATTCACTTTTTATTTTTGTACTATCATATTTTTATTTAAATAAACGATTATATTTTTTTGTCATTTAAATTCTGAATTAAGCATTATCTTTTTAATTATTAAATTACATACAATGAGCATATTTAGTTCTAAACTAAATGAGTCATCAAACTCTATTAGTACTGAAGAAGTTGAATTATTAGACTTGATACATAAAAGTACAAAGAAATTTGAAACTATGTTTAACAAGAATAGTAATCTTACTATTAAGTCTGTTTTATTTAGTATTATTGAAACATATAAAACTCTTAGAGGTGCAGTTACTACACTTGGCATGGCATCTAAATATTTTAGATGCTTCAACTACTCTGCAAATCATAATGATTTGAAAATCTCTCTTAATGGAAAATACTGGAAAGGTGTTTATATTTTGAAGGATTCGGTACACCTATGAATAAGTCTAGAGCAAAGACCCTATTCAAAGAAGTTGCTGAAAGTAATCTTGAGAATAACTATTACAGATTTGAAGCATGATTTCGATACATAATACTTTCTAAAGATTATGATAAAAATATAACCAAGAAATTTATTAATTACTTGAAATCAGTGCTGAAAAAAAAGAAAGTGTAACTGCATTTTACACATTGAGTCTGATTTATTATACTGATCAAAAGTTTAAAGATGAAGAAAAGGGTAGAAGATACTTAATCATAGCTGCACAAAAAGGTAATGAAGATGCAATCAAGAAATATAAAGAATATGATATAAAGTATTTGAACCCCTGAAATAATATTTTTTTAGTTTATAGTTTAGGTTTTATTTAGCTAGAAATACAAATAAAATACATGTTTATTCTTCAACTACTTTTGGTGCTAGGTAGTAGTGAATATAGTTTTGTTCATCTTCATATTTAACAATAATTGAAAAGTTACTTTCTAAACAAATTTGTACTTGTGTTGATAAAGAAGATGCTTTTATGAACATTAATAAAAATTTAAGTGAAAATAAATCATCTATATCATTTTCTGCTTTAATATTGATCTCATTATCAAATCCACCTGTTTTTTTATTCAAAGTACTCATATATTTATTATTAAAGTCACCAGTTGAAGTAAATTTAACTGTTTCAATATTTTGTTTTACAATATTTTTACTGTTTCATTTATGATTATTTGGTCTAAGAAGATCTTTTTTATTCAATAGAGGGCATTTCAATGATTATACTGTAGTTAGTAGGTGGAATACTGATTCTTTTCTAGTCAATATTTAGTAATCGAATTTTATATTCAGTTTCACTAGTATCATCAGAACCCCTGTATAGAACATTTAGAAAATCTGGATTTCCTAGTCTAAGTGTAAAAGTATCATTATTCTTTACATGACTAAGTATCTTGTTTAGGTAATCAAGATTTATGCCAATAATTTCATCTTTGTTATAAATATATTTTTCAAAACTTTCTTTATCAAGATGAACAGATATTAGTGCAATATGTGATGAATCCATGCTTGAAAAGTTAATGCCAGATTCTGTAAACTTAATGTTAATATCAGTAACAAGCTCTCTTGTTGCTTCGATGACATGCTTAAACAAAGATGCTTTAGCGAAAGTTGCTTCAAACATTTTTATAAGTTAACTTAAATTTAGAATTGCTTTATTTATATATTTCATAAAGTTATATGATATTTCCAAATTTATTTGGATCATCTAAAAATTGTTTCTTACATCCAAGTCATACATGCAAAAAGACTAATTCTTTTTTTTTTTTTTTTTTTTGGAGTTAAGGTGAGGTCATGCCTCAGGTCTGTTTATTCGAACATATTGTTAC